GGAGGAGGAGGAGGAGGAGGAGGAGGGAACTCGGAACTTGGCCACCCACCGAACTCGACTGGGCACGCCAGCTGAACTCGTGCAGCCTCCGCGGAGACTCCCTAGAGTGCAAGCGCTGATTGAGGACTGCCCCCGCCCGAAGCGCAGCATGTCCTGCAGCTTGGCTGAACTGTGGACGTGCGCTGGCTCCCGTAGACTTCGAGACCAATGTACTTCTTGCGAGGGTTCACTCGTCTTCGCGGCATTGGCTGCATACCTGTTGCATTCCGCTATTGGCTAGAACCTACCTGCATGTAGAAGCGCGCGGTCACTGTCACGTTTCGGGCTATTGTCTCCAACTTGTCTTTGTAAAGGTCAACGGAACCCACGTGCCCGACTCCTTATCGCACTTTTTTCCGCAACAATGATGCTCACACTCGTCCGCAAAACAGCAGCAGAGCGTCCAAGCTGTACCAACAAGCGCCCTGCGCACAGAGGAGGCCAATGCGAAACTTGAGTACATAGAGGAAGACTCACTGGCGTGAACATAAACTTTCGGTCCGCGCGTTTTTTTTTTTTTTTTTTTTTTGTTTTTTATCTGCGCTGGACCCCGTCCCTGGCACGCGGAGCGCGTCAGTGGCGGCGCTGGAGGCGCCGCCAGGGGGGGCCAGCGCAGATCCAAGAAATCCAGGCAGACCGTCGAACAGGTATGTTTATTCATTATTCCTGATTTCTTCTTCGAAGTGAGGGTTTTGGAAGGGCGCCGATCGCAGATCGCAGTCAGGACTGCGACCTTTGCCCACCGCCAGTGAAAGCGGTCCACGCTCTCCAGGAGGGGAAGGGCAAGGAGGTAAACGGAGGGACGAGAGGGGAACGCGCTTGCCAGTCGGCGGGATGGCGTTCGTGGTGATGGCTCGAGCAGAGCAAGCGTTTGAACACTCGTCTGCGCCAGCATCGATTAATACAGTCAGGATGAAGAGGATGATCCCCGAGAGAGAAGAGCTACTGCACAAGCAAAAAGGAACACTTGCACCAACTGCTGCGTGGGGTCTAGGAGGAGAAGGAGAAGGAGGAGGAGGAGAAGGAGGATGAGGAGGAGGAGAAAGAGGAGGAAGACGACCAGTGTAAACCCAAGGCGCGTCAACGATGTTGTAATAAACCCTACCTCCAAGTTCCCTCTTCAGCTGGCCCCGCGATAATGTATTTTCATTGCTGGGTATGCCCTATCGGAAGACAATCGTCTGAGAACCCTCAAACGTGCCAAAATACAATTTCGAGGACTTCAGCGTCGCGAGTCAATGTAACTGTCGCGTCCTGACAGTCCTGCATCGCACCAGAACGCAAAGGAGGAGGAGGAGGAGGAGGAGGAGGAGGAGGGGGAGGAGGAAGAGGAGGAGGAGGAGGAGGAGGAGGAGGAGAGGGAGGAGGAGGAAGAGGAGGAGGAGAGGGAGGAGGAGGAGGAGGAGGAAGAGGAGGAAGGAGGAGGAGGAAGGACCACCGTCCGCGGGCACGGCCCGGCTGCTCGAACAGGCAGCGCCGAGGCGTCGGGACCCGAGAAAGGGAGCGCGGTCGTGGCCAGGTCCAGACAGGAGTGCGGACCAGGACAAGAAGGATCCCAGACTGCGGCATTTGCCGAGGTTCCCGTCTCGTCTCAGACCGCGACACGTTAGTAGAGTGATAAGCGGCAAGAATGCGGACGACAAAATGGGCGAAGACCCGGTCCACAAGTGCGCAAGATTTGTGAACTCGTGGCCGAGATTCCCATCTCGTCTAAGACCGCGCCTCCTCTGCAGAGTGATAGGTGGCAAAAATGCGGACGACAGAATGGACGAAGACACCGGTCTCCACGAGTGCGCAAGATTTGCGAACTCGTGGCCGAGATTTCCGTCTCGTCTAAGACCGCGCCACCTCTGCAAAATTAGAGTTAGCAAAAGTGTGGATGACAACATGGATGCAGACACTGGTTACCAGTCTCCACGAGTGCGCAATATCTGTGAACCGCTACGGCGCCTTGCAATAGCAGCGTCGCGAGTCAATGTAACTGTCGCGTCCTGACAGTCCTGCATCGCACCAGAACGCAATTCCGGGAAGGAGGATGAGGAGGAGGAGGAGGAGGAGGAGGAGGAGGAGGAGGAGGAGGGGGAGGAGGAAGAGGAGGAGGAGGAGGAGGAGGAGGAGGAGAGGGAGGAGGAGGGAAGGAGGATGAGGAGGAGGAGGAGGAGGAGGAGGAGGAGGAGGAGGAGGAGGGGGAGGAGGAAGAGGAGGAGGAGGAGGAGGAGGAGGAGGAGAGGGAGGAGGAGGAAGAGGAGGAGGAGAGGGAGGAGGAGGAGGAGGAGGAAGAGGAGGAAGGAGGAGGAGGAAGGACCACCGTCCGCGGGCACGGCCCGGCTGCTCGAACAGGCAGCGCCGAGGCGTCGGGACCCGAGAAAGGGAGCGCGGTCGTGGCCAGGTCCAGACAGGAGTGCGGACCAGGACAAGAAGGATCCCAGACTGCGGCATTTGCCGAGGTTCCCGTCTCGTCTCAGACCGCGACACGTTAGTAGAGTGATAAGCGGCAAGAATGCGGACGACAAAATGGGCGAAGACCCGGTCCACAAGTGCGCAAGATTTGTGAACTCGTGGCCGAGATTCCCATCTCGTCTAAGACCGCGCCTCCTCTGCAGAGTGATAGGTGGCAAAAATGCGGACGACAGAATGGACGAAGACACCGGTCTCCACGAGTGCGCAAGATTTGCGAACTCGTGGCCGAGATTTCCGTCTCGTCTAAGACCGCGCCACCTCTGCAAAATTAGAGTTAGCAAAAGTGTGGATGACAACATGGATGCAGACACTGGTTACCAGTCTCCACGAGTGCGCAATATCTGTGAACCGCTACGGCGCCTTGCAATAGCTGCGTAGCGAATATCTTCGGCCAGCACGGCGCTGGCAAATCTCGGTGGTTTACCACATGAGGTAGACATACCATGAAATGGCAGGCTAGAAAAAGCTTGTCACAGAAGGGATGAGGATGAAAATGAAGGTAGCGAGGACCTTCGAGAAGGCTGGTAACGTTAGGGATTGGGAGGAGGATGTTGACGAAGGGTGTCGGCTCTCCAAGCCACGAATTAGGTGCAGAGCTGTCTGTCTTCCAGCAGCTAAAGATAAGCGCTAGGAAGGCAGGCTGGCTGGTGCAAGTTGTGGTCGTCGAGTGGCCAGCGCTGGTTTGAAGCCAGCTGCTGCCCTAGCAGGTTCCAATGCTCTCAAGGGGTGGGGGGAGCGATGGTGATGACAAAAGGGGGGGGCGGCGGGGAGCGGAGAAAACCTTTGCGAAAGGAGTGGCAATGGGGGATCAGAGAAAGGACAGCGAGGCGACTGGACCCAGCAAAACACGCACGCCGGCCCCTGCCTGGGCCTCGCGAGCCGGCACCCGCGAGGGAAGCGCCCACGAGCATCGGAGGTGGGGAGCCGCCCGACCTGGGTGCGCCATCAAGCGCTGTGCAGTCGGGGGCTGGACCTAAGGAACCCAAAAGAAGGAACGAGGCCCCTTTTTTCCATGAGTTAAACTTCGATTTCCGATCGAAGGCATAGGGAAAACCTGAGGCGAGCTGCGAAACACTTATAAGGAACGCGGGGCCCCTCCCCAACGAAAAGGGTTCCTTCTTCAGGGCCCCGACTGTACCTGGGTCGCGGCAAAAAGGGCGCCGTTGGGCCCAGGACCTAGCCCAGCCGGGCCACCGGCGGCGCCGAAGACCAGCGGCGGCAGCAGCCGATCCAGCCCTCCTCCTCCCCCGCCACGGAGAAGTGGAGGAAGGAGCGCTTGACGGTGGCCTTCAGCGACGGCAGCTCCCGCCCTCGGAGCGCGGGCACCTCGGGCGTGACCGACGGGGGGCGCGAGATCCACGGGGGGGGGAGAGAGAGAGCGGGGCTCGTCTCCTCTCGGGCCCCTGAGGGCCTCCTGTTGGGGGCCCTCAAGGGCCCCTTCTCGGCAGCTCTCGCTGCCCCCCATGCATCGCCCCCCCCCCTTGTCGCGCCCCTCCCAGGTACGGGGAGCGGCCAGGAGGGGGGTGTCCAAGAAGGGGGGGTGCAAATCATGACCGGCGGCATGTGCGCGGCCCAGCGGGAGGGCCAGGGACGTAATGACATGAGAAGAGGCGCTTTTGGGGAAATATCATGGCCCACGCCATGATATCCACCCCCCCTCTAGTCATCACCCCCCTCTTTGCCGCCCCCGAAGGTACCTCCCGCAGACGTGGGGCCGGGACGGCGGTCACGAAACGGCCGTCGAGGGCCCACGGGAACAAGCAAGGTGCGCGTTGCTGCCGCTCGCCCTGCGCGGCCCTCGGCGGGTCGCACTCCCGCGCGTGTTCCTCGAGGTCGCACCGCGAACCGTGCTCGTCGTGCTCCGCCTCGCTGCATTTCCAAGGCAGCAGCTTGCCCGGGGCGTGGGCGAACTTGCAGGCGTCGCCCTGCCTGCACTTCCCGGTCTTCATGAAACTCTTGCACGGCTGAGTGTAGGAGAAGTCCGGAGCTGTGCGCACGTCGTCGCTCCCGTGCGCAAAGCTGCAATCTTCCCCTCGGGCGCAGTACCCGTTCGCATAGTACATGCACAAGCGCGTCTTGTGCAAGAAACGAGCCGTCATGAGAAGATTGCCTCTGCGGGAACCCGCGCGCGCCATGTTGGGAGTGTGCACGCGGTCTTGGTGCCAGTGCAGCAGTCCCTGATTGCAATCTGCTCGGCAATGCGCTAGAGCCTAGATGGCATGAGCTAGACCGGCTGGTGTCACTCTTCGGGTCATTATGTGATCGATTCCTTTCCGCATCTCATTTCCTACTGACTGAATCACGAAGGTAACGCTGCTTGGAAGCAGAATCGTGGAGACGGGAGGGACTACAGTCGCTTGCGGCTCCCGCCGTTCCCCCCGCCTCCTCCTTCTTCACTCGCGTGGTAGACATATCGTGGGACACGGCAACATCCCGACCATATTCCATTCTCGCTCGCCCTTCCTCCCTCTCCCCCTCCTCGTTACTCCGTGCCCCTTGTCCTCCTCCTGCACCTCCCTCTCCCTCCTCCTGCTCCCTCCACTTGCGCTTTCCCCCCCCTCGCTTGACCCAGCCTAGCTCTGGCCAGAAGCGACCCAAGGGCAAGCATGGACAGGAGAGCCCAGAATCCAATCGATACATCGGATCGGCAATCGACATGAATCGGATCGGCGGAAATCGCCAGCCGAATCGGGAAAAGTCGAATCGGCGGAAGTCGGCAGGCTAGCATGCCTCCAATGAGAGATCGACACCCAAATCGGAAGCCCGAGTCGAATCGAATCGGAATCGGAATCCATCGAAGTCGAATCGAATCGAATCGGAGGAATCGAAACGAGCCCTGCATGGATGCACACCGCCGCCCCGCGCGCTGCCGGATGCGGTCGCAGATTTCAGGCCTTTTTGCCCGCCTGGAACAGCCTCGCTCGTCTCCGGCTGCCCCTCTCCGGCTCCGATCCCGTCGCCCCCCCCTCCCCAGCAGGGAGGAAAGGGGCCCTGGGGCACACAAAGAAACACACACACACACACGAATCAGAGGATTCCCCCATACTTTCCCAGGTTCTCTGGGTTTCTGCCTTCCCCCCCCCCCCCACTGCCCACATTTTCCTATATCTTCTGGGACATCGACGATTCATTGTGTCTGTGTTTTTTTTTTGTTCCCTCCCGACGGGAGGATGGGCCCGGGGCGGCGGAGGAGGCACGGACGAAGGGCGGGGAGCCCCGGCCTTCAGGCCCAGTCTCCCGTCGAGCACCGTGCTGAGGTAGGGCAGCTGGGACAGCTGCATGTCCCGGGCCACGCCCTGAGCAGGGGAATCTTTTTTCCCCAACCATCCTGTGGTGTTGGGTTCCCTCGTTTTGAAGAGACAGTGCCCCGCGTTCTCCTCTCCTCTCCTCTCCTCTCCTCTCCTCTCCTCTCCTCTCCTCTCCTCTCCTCTCCTCTCCTCCTCCCCCTCCTCCCTCCTCCCTCCTCCCACCACATCGTCATCGCCATCATCATCAGCATCATCATCAGCCACGCCCTGAGCAGGGAAATCTTTTTTTTTCCCGCAGGGAACACGCTCCAGACAGGAAGAAGACTCCGCTGCCCCTCCAGGGGGCTGTCCAGACACGGGCGACAAAGAAGCTCATACGCCAGGCGATCGCAGTGTGCGTGCATCCGGGCTGGCTTCCAACCGTTCACACCAATCACACCATCGCTCTGGACTCGGGGCGGCCGAAGGAGGAGGAGCAGGAGAAGGGATTCTGCAAACTTCCGCAGTCTCATGACCGCCGCGACTGCTTCTGCTGTCGCCATCCGCGGGAGATACTCGTCGCTCCGCGGCCCGATTGAGGTCAACCAGCGCCAGCCACTTGTGCCACATGCTGGCAACCTGAAGCAGCGTGACGGGCGCAACAACCAAGCTAGCAAAAGTGCCTGCCTTGCCCGACCAGCCAGATCAGTAGCCAACGGCTGAGGAACATCCTCCGAGAAGAATGCATGCTTTGTGCTACCCGACGCTCCAGAGAGGGCTGGCCCCTCCTCAGGCCCCCTGTGCCCCCCCCACCCCCACCGCCACTCCGCCCCCCCCCCCCCTCTCAGGCCTCCTGACCCCTTCCTTCCCCCGAGTCCTCCCCCTCCCCTCCCCTGACCTTCCAGGAGGGCTAAAAATAGCACCCGACTTAAAAACCTACCCAAAGGCTATTATACGTCTTGGTTTTAGGCTGTTTCGCTTAGTTTTTTAGGTTTTTAGGTCTCCAGTGCTAAGAATAGCTTTCTGGAAGGTCAGGGTCCGAATCTGAATTCTAGCAGGGGCCAGAGCTCCAGGAGTCCCTCCAGGCCGCCGGGCCGCCCCGCCCATCTATCGCCAGGGCTCCGAGACCCATGTCGAGATCCACGGCCTCAATCAGCATCTGCTCTTGCTGCGTCTACGAGAGCACTCTTCCCACCATCGGCGCCACCCGCGCATCGCCGTGCCCCAGGACCACGCCTGGCACCAGAGAAATGGTCGACATTGGGCAGCGCGCTCCCACGAAGAGCCCCTTTGCATCCACGACAGATTTTGCTCCCGCCCAGCCCGTCGCGATGTGGCTGGTCTGTTTCTTTATCCATATACTGGCAAGGATGAGTGGTCCACCAATCGTGCCTATCATTTTTTTCGAGCGCGACTTCGGAGGGGATCAGGGAAAGTAGGCATTCCAAAAGACCGCAGACCCGTGCCGTTCTGGTCAGACGACACCGCCGGGCTACCACTGCAGTTAGCGCAGTCGAAAAGGAGGGAGACGTTAGAGGCGCGTGCATGTGTGTGAGTGTCTCGGCATCAGAATGTCAGGATGCTGACGCCAGGGAGGAAGAGGAGGACCAGGAGCGAGAAGTGGAGACAAGCGACAATCTAGAAATCTATGCGACCTGGTTGTAAGGTACTCGTACATAATGCTTTCGCGAGCGGAGGCGTAAAAGCAAGACGGGGGAGAGAAGGAGAGAGAAAGAGGGAGGTCACAGTTGTAGTTGTATATGCACATGCAGAGCGAGAGAGAGAGAGAGAGAGAGAGAGCGAGAGAACGACACATAAATAATTGGAATGAGAATAATAAGGAGAGAAAGAGCGAGAGAGAGAGAGAGAGAGGGAAGGCAAGGCCACCTTAAGGCCAGAGCAGAGGAGGCAAGGCCACTTTTGCGACCCGCATTACATTCAGCAATTTGGTGCCGCGTTGGCGCGCCACGTGTTTCAGTGACCAGCCACTGACTGCCGTCCAAGTCCACCACCTCGTCGTCAATCCCGTGCGTGGTGACAGCAATGCAATCGGCTGGCAACGAACCGCTACCACCCACTGGCCTATGTGGCAACAGGCGCCTCGGGGACGGATGCACGGCGTGATATCGACCAGCTAGCCAGTATCACAGCATCTTCGCCGCACCTGGGATGCATACCCTTAAGGTAACGCCACCTCCTCGTCGTCCGTGAAAACCAAACTGGAAAGGTCCCTGAACTCGGGCTCCGCGCCCCCAAGGCGGACGCCCTCGTCGCTCTGGTCATGACCGCTGTCGCTGCAGGAGGTGGCCCGGCGGCCAGATCTCCTTCGCCACCGCCACTCGTGCCACACTCCGGCCTGCAGCTTGTGCATGGGGCAGCTCCCACTCGCAGCCACGCGCCAGCGGGCCCTTCGTGGCGGATGGTGGGGGGATGGGGGGGAGGGGGATCGGCATGCCACGCACGGTGATGGGTGGGGCCGCGGCGCCCCCCTGGCAGCCAGACAGCCCGCTGGCAGCCTCAGCGTGCACGCCGCCCTCGCCCCCCCCGCAATCTCTGCGGGATGCTGGCGCCGTGCGCAGGCCGGCCACCCGCCGTTCGCGTGGCCCAGGGCACCTGGCAAGGCGGCGGTTCTGCCCACGCCGGGGCCCCATGCCACTCAGGCGGGCGCCTGAGCGCGGCATTGTAGCAGGGCCTGGGTACCAGATGTCAGATGCAGCGCACTGCGCGCTGCCCTCCTCCGCACCTCAAGCCAAGCACCCTGTCTAGAATTTTTAGCTCACCTCCTCGTCTGGGACCGCCTCTTCCCTCTGGGAACCAGCTCACGTCCAAATCAAGATGGCTACCGAACCTGGAGGTGAAGACCTGGAAGCTCTGCCTTCCGAAGCTGCGCGTGTGCCCATCTTGACTATCAGCCGCTGCCTTCAGCCTCCCATATCTCGGCTTCACCCTGGCCCTGGTCGTGGCTTTGGCCCTTGGTGGCGGCCTAATTGGCGTCGTCCTCTGGGACTGGAACTGGGTGGGGCATTCATGGTTTTGGGAAGGGTTTAGCTGACACTGGTAGGCGGCCCTGTGGTTCAGCTGATATGCCCCGAGTCTTGTTGTATCTGCTTGCGAATCGTCGCGCTGGTGCGCTTTTCTGAATTTGTGGATTTCGGTAATCCCACCAGCCCTCTGGGCTTAGGTGGTATAACGCGTTTTTTCTTCTCTCTTCCACTGAAGCCCCTCCCCCTACCCCCTCCCCTGGGCCAGGAAGGGGGGGTACCGAGGCGTTGGAGCGTCCAAGATGGCTCCAAGAGGGCTTCGAAGTCGCAAGATGGCCTCCAAAATGGCCCATGCTACTTCAAGATGGGTCAATATAGCCTCCGACATACCCCCAAGAGGCCCCAAGACAGCCCCAAGACGGATCCAAGTGCCCTTCGAGCCCTCCACGGCGCCCTCCAAGATGCCAAAACCGTTCAAAAGTCTAGGGATAACCGATGTGTTTGGCATTGTCGCCTTTTCGCTTCCGATGGGCTTTGGAAGCCTCAAGATGGCCCCAAAATGACCCAAAAGAGGCCCAAGAGGGGCCCAAGAAGGCCGAAGACGGCCCCAAGATGGCCCAAGAGGCGCCCAAGAGCGCCCCAAGCGGGCCCCAAGATGCCGTTTGAGAGCCTCCGAGGGGGGGGGGGGCCGAATTCCTTCCCCCCCCTCTTTTTGAGCCATGGTGCCCAAGACGGCCCCAAGAGGCCTCCCAGACCCCCCAAAGAGCCCCAAGAGGGCTCCAAGACTCCCCCAAAAGATCCTCAAGAGGGCCCCAATAATGCCTCAAGACAGCCTCAAGATGGCCCAAGATAGCCGAGCATGACTCAAGATAACCTCCGACAGCCTCTAGCCGAGCATGGCTCAAGATAGCCTCCAAAGAGGCCTCAAGAAAGCTGGCAATAAATTCTGGATGGGCTGGTGGGGATACTTTTTCGGTCGCGGCCGCAAGCGATGAGCGCAGGCGGCAACAGA